TGATGATGATGATGATGACGATAGTAATAATTGATGTTAATATTAATAACAATATAAGTGAAGAAAATTGTGCTAAATGCGAAAAAAAAGTTGTGATTTGTTGATCATACTATAGTATATATAGTTAAAGCTTAGTAAGCTATAATTAGGCCTAAGTTGTCCTGGATATTAAGTAGATTCCTGATGAAAGATCATGAGAACTTTGTTGGCGTTTCATTTTGACTATAATGGTGATGTGATGATGATGAATTTTATTATATAAAAGTGTCATTTCCGGCCATCTCGAGAGGTACTATTTCCTTAAATTTTCTCACCTCAGCCCGAGCCATGGTGGGGCTGAGGTGGTTGTGAAATCACGTTTTTGAAGCAGGCCTATGTAAAGTACATACTCAAAGACAATGTTTTTAAGCTTTGTTTTCTATGGTGTATACACACACAATAATAAGATCGCTATGGTTCTCAAAAGTCCCTGATAAAAGATCTTGAGAATTTCTTTTGGCGCTTCATTTTGACTAATGGTGATGTGATGATGATGAATTTTACTAAAAGTGTCATTTCTGGCCATATAGAGGTACTATTTCCTCAAATTTTCTCACCTCAGCTCCAACCATTGTGGGGCTGGGATGGGTGTCGACTTACAAAATACCCTCCCCCTCCACCTTTCAAAACAGATCTGTGCCCTTCCCTGGGTATGACATTAAACTCCATCGAGTCGACTCCTGATGTATGTCTTAGTGATTGCTGTTTGTTTTTAGGATGTGATCTGGTTTTCCATGTCCATTATTCGTGATTATGACTATTCTGGATAAAGAATGTTTTGAGCAGAGGTAGATTCAAGGCACCCCCCCCCCCTTCATTTTTTAAGGAAAAAAAGGAAAAATATATTCAAATTGAAGTGCGAGAGTATAATTTCCGGCCATCTAGAGATGCCCTAATCATAAATTTTCTTACCTCAGCCCCAACCATGGTGGGGCTGAGGTGGGTGGTTCCTCGGTCTGTGAAAGTCCCTCCCTGGTTGACCTCTCTTTCGAATTCCTGGATCTGCCACTGTTGATTTATTATATAATTATTTTTGCGCATATTTATAATGCGTCTATTGCAATTTTCACTTTATCCTCTCAAACATTCCTAAGAACGTTCAGAGTGCGCTACTTCACAGGGGGATTCGCCCCTTGACCCCGCCGGGGGCATAAGTAATTCGCATAACGGCTCCCCCCCCCCCTTTCAAAATCCTGGCTACGTCCCTGGTTTCTGCCGCCCCAAATGTGCGCCAGGTTACGTTTGCTCTAAGTATACCATAGCAAAGTCGTCTGAAGGCTTTAATTATCGATTCATAAAAATCAATGTATTCATAAACTGGCTGTTATCAAATGACTAACCCATTAGGCTTATATGTCAAGTTAATTTACATACATACAAAAATACAATAACATGAATAGTTTATACTTAGCGGTTTGGTAACTAAAAAATATATAATTACCAAAGAGCATTATTAGTTTACAAAAACAAAAAAACAAAAAAAAAACTATCAATATGACGCCACCAACGACTGGCAATTAGATACTTCACGTCAACTGCACATAATACTTACAATATTTTTTGTCGGAAAGTTATTTATTATTATACAATCAAGTTCTTCCTAATTTAAGACCGAGTAAGGTAAGGTTTGAAATTCAGAAATTTTATTTTCAAAACATTGAATAAATTAATTATCTCACAAATGACATGGTCATAGAAATTGATGATATTGTAATTGCGGGAATGGTAAAAAAAAGCGCTTACTATAATTCTAAAAGCGCCCTCTATGATATAGAAAATGTAACCTAACGACTGGCACAAGTTGCGCAACACTTCCTATTGTACACCTGGAGCCTACATAATTGATGTGCTTTAATTAGACCGCAACTTTGATGTGGTAAATCCTTGCACACTGAAAAAGAGGATTACCAAAATAATTAGTATTTCTGTAAAGGTTAAAAATAGATAAAGTATTGTCAATATACTAGCTTAAATTATTCAAATGAAGAGCAAATACACAGTGTTTTTAAATAGGTTTAAATTTTAGTATTTTTAGATTAGCTTTGGGGTTTATGAGAAATAGAAAATGTACCATTATAAATATAGAAACTGACCTGTGCCTGTGTTAGATTGAACCGTAAGCGCAGCAACACATGGAGTGTTACGACAAACCATTCGTGACGATGGTCTAGAGATGTCTTTACATCCGTTGACCTCAACACCTTCGTAATAACATTTGACCTCTCTCTCTTTATTGCCGTTACCGCACGTGACAGAGCACTGGTATAAATATAAACATAATTACGTATCATTGGCACTGGACAGAAAGAAAAATGGAAAGAAGCAAATCATAAAGGTAGTAGAGCTGGAATGTTACATTAGCCTAAGCGTCCTTGAATCTGGCCCCAGCCCTATACACACGACGGGGCTCTCCTACTAACACTCAGCGCTCTACTACCTTTGACATTACGGTTAAGTAAGTAAGGCACCTTAAACTAGCAAAATAAAACATAATTCTTGGTTTTAAACTCAAGTACGGATGTCTTATCTGAACTACTATGACAACAACACTTCTTTTATGCAATACAAATTTCCAGCTTAACAGGGCCCCCATTAGCAATATACAGAAATATTCATAAATGTTTTAAGGTAGGGCAAGATTCCCTAAAATAGTGACCTGTTCGTCGTCACGTCACGGGTCCCCTGAATCTAAATTCCGAGACTCAATACAGCAAGGGCATGAATATCCTCTAACCTGTGACCATTCCGATGTGAACCACTGGCCAACTGATCTGCCAACACAATCACTAGTTATACAGTTGGACGTCGATAGGGGCTTAAGTCCTCGGCAGTGTCCGGAGTCCTCTGGATACACGCGCATCTTATTGAATTCGACGGATGCGCATAGGATGCTCCGAGTGTGTGTTCCTTGACCACACTTCACTGAACACTGCCAATATGAAATTGGTAGATGATTAGTGTTTAGATTTTAACATTATATTCCACAATAATACACAGCTCGCCCTACAGTTTGAGATATGAATATCTGAGGTGGTCTCAGAGTTCGGTCTCTTGTGTGAAATGAACGTGGAAAAAACGGAAATTGCCTATAAAAATTGTTTTCAAATTTTCATACTTTAGGCCTACCCTAATTGTTCGGATCGAGATTGTTTTATTTTTGCATAAAATATTTGTTTTAAATGTATAGAGATCTGTTTTTATTCACACAAATAAGGGTATAAAACATCACAATGTACATAGTTTGAAAAATTGACTAAAAAAATTATTAGCAGGCTCCATATTAGGCTACAACAAAGCAATTGTGGCCAGTATACTTATCAGAGCGTTTCACTCTTTCAAAATAGTGGCCCAAACTCGTAGGCTTAAATCTTTCACTGTAAAATTTAAAAGTGTGGAATTTAAATATTTCACCCATAGGTTTTTACGTAGAACACTTACGGGAGACCACGGTTGAGCAATCCATCGAGGGGGACATGTCTTAGCCCCACACAACCGAGTTTCATAAGGCCGATCAATTTTCCGACACATCTCCGGCGCTACCGATGTTCCATTGTAAAGTTGGCACTCCAAATTTCTTGTCTGTACGCCGCAAATACCGGGACACTAACACATTATAAAAGAAGCACCTGGATTTACTAATTTTACTTATTTAAGTTTTCACAGGTTTGAGATAAGCCGTAAGAATATGTGATCCTATATAACAAGCCTACTTTAATTCAAAACGGGCAGTGCAAAATGTCTGAATATTAGTTATAAGAGCCCGAACTATATTAACATCAATCTTACGAAGGCAATAAACAAAGTGACGTAACCTGATAAAAAAAAAAAAACATTATCAAAATTTAAGAATCTTTTAATTTGTGCATATTTTGTTTGAACGAAATATCGTAGCTTGCATTATTACAAATGTGAATTTTACGAGAAAAATACATATACTGTACAACATAAGCACACTTTTAAATTGAATTAGGATAACATTTTTAACTCTATGAAGACATTCAAACTCACTGGAGTCCATTCTGAAGTATGCCATCGGTACGTGCATATCCCTGCATTACACGGTTTCGAAGTAGACGGCTTCGTGGTTTGGTCACACAACAAGTGTGCTGGACCGACGCATTCTACATCTCTCGTCTCGTAGCCATCTCCGCAGCTGACGTTACACTAACGGCGGAATATAATATGTAAAAATAGGGCACTGAGCAATGTAAACACGATTATCGACAAGCCATAAAGGCCAACTCAGACAGCGTCGTACGACGCAGCCCGACGCGATTTGTTGTCGCGTCGGGTCTGTGTGAGTTAAACGCAGACGCGATGGTTTGCGTCGGGGGCAGTCGCGTCGTAAAATATTAAACATGTTTAATATTTCTCACGATGGCTTAAGACTGTCCCCGACGATAAATCGCGTCGGGCCTCGTCGTACGACGCTGTCTAAGTTGGCTTTAAAGAGGATAATAATTAGATTCGATAAGGTGATATTCTTACGTAATGTTTTTTAAGCATTAATACCTTATATCTGGTAAAATTGTAAACATGCTGGGCACTCGACATCTACTGTTTTATAACGTAACCTAGAGCCGGGTTTCACTGCGTCGTACTACGGTCCTACGACCGTCGACCGACGAATAAAACTCCGCTCTATGTGAGCTTTAGAAAACGCGACGCCGTCTGGTGATTGTCCGGGTGGAAATCTGAACGGATCGTTATTAAAAACGATTTGTTGCGCGGACATTTTTGCTTTGCGTACTTGCATGACTGCTTTAAGCCTACGAGTGGGTATTACGTCAAACACCAAACTTCTTATAAAGTGAGAAAAATTATATTTACACTTCTCCACTCGGAGACCGTCCATGTTTGATCACAAGGGATAATTTGACATGACTCTGATGAATTCGGTTTTGGAATGTGAGCACATTGACGGTTGTCGACAGAACTGTCGAGGCCTTGTCTGATCATCCGCCAGCAATTCACAAGGCGTACCAGTCGCCCTTCACCACATGTCGTTGAACATCCACTCCACTTACCAACTTCCCATCTGGAGAAAAGAACATTTCTTGCATTAGTTCCTTCAAAAAGAATGCTGTTGGAATACACTGCACATGAGCCGCGGGGTTCCGTACATGTAACACATACTTGTAAATTGTGAAGAGGGAAGAACATTAATGTATGCAGCCATACATGTAATCACTAAAAATGCATACAATCACTAATAATATGCGACTGGTTTACCTGGGTTCGCAATATTGGGAGCTGCACTCATTGTACGTCGGGTTCGGCTTCAGGGAAATGTCACAGTAATCATCACTAACGCGTTTGCCGTCTGGGCCTTGGCAGTAGGGGTATCTTGATGACACACCTGCAAAATGAGCATTTTTTTTGTTCGACAATATTAAGTTACTTCTGAATCAATTGACCAAATTGTATGTTTATAGCCGACATAACGTTAGGAACAGCAAAATGTGACAGTACATGGCCAATTGATATTGGGATAGCTGCATGAACAGGCAGGCCGTATAACGACATGTGATGTCACATCAGTATTTATCTTTTGTTTAGTGTGCTCCCTTAAAACCTGTCTCGTTAGAGTGTATGTAGGCTTACGAATGAATTTTTAAATCACAAATAGTTTTTTACCCTCTTTAACACTTTTTTTTTCCCTCAACAAGCTTAGGTAAAAATTGATAAGAGCCTATAGCATCCAGAAATACGCACACGTCAATGGAATACCACTCTGTGTCATTTATGTAGATTCAATATGCATGATTTATAGGATTTCTTTATATAATAGACCTATAGTTTTTTGTACGAACATTATTGTTTGAACATAAAATGTCTTTACGCTTTGTAAAATTTTTATTTGCTTACCTCGTGTGCATGTTGCTGAACATTCGGTTGACCCAGATGTAGTCCAAGTATAGGTACTATCGAAACCGCCATTATTGGCATAATACGTGTCCTGTACACTACCCCAATTGTTCCGTTCACCATTGAGATTTACGTTCGTAACTTCGGTAGAATTATCTGCATAAGGCGACAACCAAAACACAGGAGTTAGTTGTAGCTTTATCAATCGGTAATATTGTAGTTTGAAGCAGACTTAATATACCATAATATACGTAGGCCTACATCTCCAACATAGGCATGCGCTCTAATATGAAATAGAAATAAACATTTAGCTGAACTTCTTTGTTAATTAATAATATTAAACTCATTCATGGCATGAGGAGGGTTAGGTAAGAGTGGTAACTATAACAGGTTCATAAGAAACACCAAAATAGTATTGTTGTGAGAATGTATGTCGATGGAAATGGTTTTCTTACAATCATAAACCTTAGTTGGTGCATTAAAGTCTTCAACAATAGTTTCCTCTGGATAGACGACATCCGCTATGATTAGTTCAGATAGCTCAAAAGCTGATTCCTGTTCTATCAGAGAAAGTGGAGCCCATGTTTGGTCTGATTCCGAGCTAACATCTGTTGTCTCTGTGTCAATGTACTCAGTCATTCCGATCGGTCTACCTGTAATAAATTGACTATGAAATGAGCCTCCCCATTTTGGATCCACTGTGTCTTTCAATTTATCTTCTTGCTCTTGGCCAGAAGGTGCGTTTTGACTTCTAGGTTGACTTTCTCCAATGATCTCCTCCACCGTCTGTATAATCTCTGCCGAGGAATGTTGTTTAGGAGTGACAGGTAAATTCTCTTTGATGTCTATCACTAAGCCAGGGGATCTTTCATGATCTGTGGTGTATTCAGATGGTTCCTCGTATACGACGGCGTGGTGTCGAAATCTTGATATATTTGAGTCATACGAACCGTAGGAAACACTAGCTTCATTGCCTTCCTCACTAGTCAAACGGCCACTCACTGTCGTCTTATGGATGGTATACACATCCTTTAATACTCTAAACTTCTTTTGAGGTGTGGTAGTCAAAACATCTTCACCATGCGGTCTGGCAGTATTCAGTGTAGTTTTCACACCCGATTGGACTGTTGTAGTATAAGAGGAGATGGCAGGATTAGCAGTTGTAGTGGGTGAAGACATGTGTGGCGGCTGTTCAGCAGCTTGAAAGTACTCTTGATTGATTTCTCCAGATTTGTCTGAGCCAATGACGTCAAAATGTAACGTCTCATCTTGACCCACGGTTGGTAGTGTGAACCTATATTCAATGTGTGTTGAAGTATCTGCACACAGAACCTAAAAATACAGCAAACAGTTAGACAGGTTTGAACAGGCAAACATGACAGTCGACTTAACAATGTATAAATATATGTGCACTATGTGCAGTGGCGTATCTAGGATTCTTGAAATTGGGGCTGATGGAGGCGCGAAGGTGGTGTGGAGGGGGATGATAAGGTGAGGGGAAGCTAGGTCGCAAACTAAGGTGATATCAGGTGATTTTTAATTACTTGAGCGTGATTTTTGTTGCTTCGGACATTCTTAATTTGGGCGCGAGCTTTATTGGGTATTGGGAGCAGCATCACATCCCCCTCCCCTTCCACCCTAGATACGCCACTGACTATGTGCCTACACAAAATTGTTTCGATTTCTATTTTAATTTGAAATCTGAATAAAGTGTTGATAAAAAGCCAAATATATAATTTCTTCAAAGTTATAATTATGCTGGCTAACGCCGATTGTGCCCCGATTGTGCCTAATGCAAAGTATAATAATTTATGTTACTCACAGTATTCCATACGTCTGTCCATCTGTCACTAAAAAATTGTCCTTTAAAGAAAACTCTTTGTTACTTACCATAACACAAATACTAGTGTTTGTTGGACCAGGCGCTGTGATGGTCTCCCACTCCCCCTGTAGCCGTCCCATTACCCACAACTGAGGCCGCCTATAGTTCACTAGTGTCCCTGCAACTGGTATCTGTCCAGGACGTTCAATCAACCAATTACCATTCAGAAAGTATTCACCAGCATCGTTTCGAAGGGCTAAGAAAAATATGTCCAAATGATTCTTATAATATTCGTATGCAACTGACCTCAGTAGATATAAAATAAGCCTAATTACCGTAGGCCTACTCTTCGAGTGACAATGATGCATAGTCTAATTGGCAGTTTAAAGTATCCACCACTTTTTAAAAGTAAATTTTACTACTGCAAATACTATTCCTCAACTGGAATAAAACATGATCAGTATACAGTAGAGCCCCTATTAAGGGGACACCTTCGGGACCAAATAAAGTGTCCCCTTAATAGGGGTGTCCCCTGAATAGGGGTACCCCTATTCAGGGGACACTAACCAAAAACGCGAAATTGTCACCATAAGAAAGGGGTTTTTGGCATGTTTTCATACTAACAATAACGTAGATTCTATATAATTTTATTCTTATTGACATAAGAATCAGCTAAGTAGAATTAGATCTAATTTATGCAAATACAGTTCATTTACAATATGAAATCAGCACAAATGTAATATTAAAACAACAATAGTTTTATATGTTGTAGAAGCAGTTTGGTGCAACGGGAACGGTATGGTATCCCAACATCGAGGTCGGGGTTTTAGTCCCTTGCTATACATTCGCTTGTGTCCTTGAGCAAGGCACTTTATCTGCATTGCTTCTCCTGTACTCACCTGTCTTGTCGGGCTCTTAGGTAGACCATAAAGGCCTGTATGGTACATGTTATGCCCTCCCAATTCAATCAAACCATCACTGCATGGGTTCTTTCCACCCAGGAGTATAAATTAGAAACATTGAAAAGACTGGTTTATATGAAGTAACACATTTAGTAGGCCTATACCGACGTTTACTCTAAGAATTCAGGGGAGAAAATCCTGGTTTATTGCTCAAAAGTTGTTAAAATATGAAGTTGAATTAATTTTTCTTACTTTGAGACTGCTGTAAACGTTGTTGTGATTCAATAAAAAAAATTAAGTGTCCCCTTAATAGAGGTTATTTGTCCAGTTGACACATTTAGAAAGTGTCCCCGTCCCCTAATAGGGGTTGGCCATAGTGTTAAAAGATATATTGCCCTCATTTCACGAAAAAGTGTCTCCTTAATAGGGGTGTCCCCTGAATAGGGGTGTCCCAAAGGAGGGGTTCTACTGTATTATGATTGGTATAGTTGAGAATCTAAAGGATTTTTGATGAAATATCTCTGAATTTATAGTTACTCATGACAAATTCAATAGTCTAAAAATAGTCAAGTAAACACCTATATTTGGATATATAATTCAATGGTAACAATGTAATCAGGTTAAATGGATTTAAGTTACATGTGAACCAGACTTAAATCATTATTCTAATTAGTTATTGTGTACTTGTGTTCGTATGTTTACCTAAGTAGTTCTTTCCACGTTTTTCTATTATCTGGATGTTTTTTGCACCTGCTGGAATCTGAACGACCTCGTTGTACCCTGAAACAAAGACACACACGATGTATCATGATAAATTTGTGGTAAATTATATTACTAACAACAAATTAGATGGACTGTGCTTATATAATATTAATATATAGGCCTATATGTGGTTTGCAATAAAGATCTTGTATGACGATATCTTACCTACTTTGAGATTATCTGTTTGAAATTCGCCCTCGATAGCCTCGCAGGCTTTCGATTTTCCACCGCAGATTCCGCAGACGTCAATTTTCTTTTCAGAATTAAGTACGTTGTCGCAGCCTACTTTCTAAAAGTAAACATACATGTCAACCTGCAGTGTCATGTATTATGCTGTTTGGTTCTTTTTCAGCATTTCTAAGCATCAAATGACATGTGTGCGTGCTGTGATACATGCATAATGGCATCCGTGCTATAGGAGGCATATGGACTTGAGTTCGTGCCGTTCCTTAACATCATACCTTTCTCAAAACAGTATAGTCCTAATAAATCTAAAATAAGATGATGCATTGTCACCTACACCGTGTGCTATGAATTAAACTTGGGTGGTGTAGTAAGGTGTTTTTTTTTACTTATTTATAATCGAGATAAAGTGTAAAGGTACCGGTGTCACGAAAACTATGTTTCATTGCAGATTTAGGTTCCGCACCTAAATTGACGTCAAAGCGCCAGTTCAGTCAGTAAATTAGGTTTCGCTCTCATTTTCTCCATATGATTTTGCAACAGAACTTATATTGGTGCTAGTCAATTTTTTTTCTACGCGGTGTTAATCTAAGGCTACCAAGTTGGAGCAAGGAACGAGTTTCTCAAGTAGGCCTACTGGACCTTAAATTTGCATGGTAAATGTGCGAATGTACTTACCACACATTCACCCTTGTGACAGACGCCTCGTATAATGTCATGTGCTGGGTTGCTACAAAGCTTACCGTCGTGCATGTCTGGTAACTGCACCACGAGTTTAATATTCTGTACAGCGTAACAACGTAACGCACATGGGTTGATATGTTCTGGAATTTCAAATATAGAACAACAATCATGTCATTAACATTGCAAACACTCATGCATTATAATAGTCGTTATAATAGTCACTCGCGTTAACGTTAATCATGGAGGTATAAGCTATTTTTATACCTCCATGCTTTAATTAAGCACGTCATATGAGAAACTTACCTACTTTGGGCTTGTACGGCCTCCAATGATAATAAGCGTTATCATATCGCGCGCATAGTTGGTGCCACCGATCACCTCCTTTTCCAACTGGACAGCTCTAAATGTATAAAAAGACGATAAGGATAATTGTTTAATTAGACCGGTCGTGTGTTCGATATTTCGCTGTGAATTTCTCTTGGGTTCTTGGACAAGGCATTTTACTAGCCACTGCCTCTAAATTAATAGGCCTACTAACTATTTATTTGAGCACCTTCGATTGTTGTTATTGTAATACATGAAAACATTCAAGTTCGTTTTATTTCACATACATAGAGTAACAATGAAATGAAATATGAATAGGGTATATTCCAGAGGTATGAGGCTATGTTTCTTTTCCTTGTAGGTCTACAAATAAAAACTGTTCTTTTCCTTGCACATCGACATTACCGTGGGTTCCTTTAATTGGTTCCTTTAAGACAGGCTAAATTTCCAAACATACTTTGCTTTTCTTTCTTAGAACTTGTTTCCAAAATATAATTTAACTGGTAACAAAATAATAAATAATGTATGAAAAGCATATTTTTTTTACATTATGAACATTATGAATAGTCGGCTTTGGAACATCAGAGTTTTAATATACTCACTTGATAATTACATAGTTTGTATTGTACATTTTCTTTGCATTTATGACTCCCCTCCGTCAAAGTACCTCTGAAAGAAATAGTGCATACTATTACTTACGGTACATTAAGAGGACTACAACATATATGTGTCTGTTTCACTAAAGAAACTATAGGCCTACGTTTTCTTGTAGATTTCTTTAGGCCTACATACTGTAATGGTAGGTGCTAAAGGAAAATAACCCGCAGCGTCAGTGTACTGAACTGCTTGGCGTGGTCAGTGCGATTACTGTAGAAGCCGTAGAGGGGCGGTTAGTTCACATCATTCCACACCACGGCAGGGGCTAAATTTAAACATAGCATCTGGGTAACCCCATTCTTCTGAAAGATGCAATAGGTTATTTAATGTGCACACGAGCCAGATGTGTACACTTGAAGCCCTTATCGGAGAAGACTTGGTTCTTCTACCAACTAAACCCTGGATGAGGAGCTGCTCGAACCAGAGCAGATGTTAAGGCTGTAGCTAGCGGAGTCCCTTTTTTATCGCTCGGCCACTCGATTCGCCAAATAGTGTGCTCCATTTGTCGCAACAAAACGGAAACATGCCGTTTATTAACTCTAAAAGTCCATTCATGTGACTCCCATATTGTGCGTTAGGCAAAGTTAGGATATGTTGGCAACAATTGCATCTACTGTACTGCATCCAACACGGCAAAATACTCGTAACAGTCATGGCATTCTGAATCTCAATAAGAAAATTAGTGTAGACTTGCACCCTAATCCTTAAACCTCCGCCTATCTACCCCACCCTGCACCGCTAAAAAAAATACAAACGGTGCTGACGATGATTGTAATCGAAAGACAGGGTATGGATGGGATTCCCAATGGCCTGGGTCTTCCGAAAAAGATGGTGCAGTAAATCGCGGTACAACATACAAACATGAGTACAGTATTCTACACGCTCCATCCCACTGCAATAATTAGTCCGGTATTGATGAATCTACTTCCCGAAAGTTCTTGCAACGAAGTCGTAAATCGTCAGTGAGAAAACTATTGGGCAGATTTCAAGACGTAGTACGTAGTCGGCATCAAACGCGGCGATACGGTAATAAATTACTAAGCTCTCGTACGACCCAGTTCGACACTTCAAAACACCAAGAACCCCTTCTGGCAGCAATATATCACCGAGCCACCTTTACTTGGAGAGATGCTGTCAACAATCTTCGCGTACATTTCTATGAAATCCACCCACACCTAAGGTGGTGATTGATAGCATATTATTAGAAACTTAACCCAATAGGGATACCGTACACCCTAATTTCACCTGTGTAGACAGACAAGTATTACCACTGTCTACATG